TGAGGGGCGGGACGTTAAGAAGCGCACTAGAGACGGTTTAGCCAATCACAACACACTGGGCTGGCTAACCAATCAGAGCCCATCGCCTATTTCTGAGGGAGGGGCTTCATAAAAGGAGGAAATTGATCAGCGCGTTTCTCAGAGAAGGGACAGAGCGGTGTGGAATAAAGGTAAATTATGCATTTTTTAAAAAACGAAGCATTAACACGTTAGACTGCACCCCCATAAACACAATCAAGCCTAGAAAACAACCACCGAACCACCCCTTTAATAAGATTCACACTTTTCCCCCCCCCACTTACATTTACTCATACATATATTTCTGGGATCTAAACAGCACAAAATTGTATGCATTTTCTCACTTTAAACTCATTAACTGTAGCTTTAATCCAAGTACACCAAGTAATCTGCTGTAGCTTCAGTCTGTTGATTGTCTGAAAAAAGTCTTATTTGTGTCTACAGCATCTCAATTCATTCCAACAGAGTTTAGCTTTAGCATGCATCGCTAAGCTAACAATACAGCCCTAAAACAAAAATATTTAAAACACACTTCACATACTGCATACTATTTTTTAACTAAATGTAAATGTGACAGTTCCTAAAAAGACCTCTGTTTACAATTCACCTTTTAAATAAACGGCTGTCAGCAGATAGTGATGTGTTATCTGCCGTTTGATAAGCAGCGAGGGAATGCATATATGAAATCTCTGCTGCACTGATATATTTATACTATAGCAGAATGAAGCGGCGACACTTTTATGGCACAGTCCCGAGATGAGAGTATGATTGCAGATAACAGACTCTCTGCACTTCCAGTTGGGAAGGGAAAAAAGACTGAGCTAAAGATCCTGCTGTTGAAATAACAATCATATGCCAGCATGACCGTGGAGGACGTGCTGTTAAGAGTCGGGGTCGCTGACAAGTGCATATATGCCATCGTGGTTGCATATGAGCCGCCTAAGGCGAATATCTTCAACCTTTAGCATTCTCAACCCACAACCACCCACCACTGGCAGTGAAGTACAGCTCAACACTTGGGAAGGCAAGAACACCGACTGCTAGATAAGAGTCCACGATGAAGTGGTGATCTTGGAGGGAAGAATTCACATCTGTGGTTTTAACGCAGCTTAAGGGCAAACTGAGGAGGTCAATGAAAGCACATGCAAAACCGAAGAAAGGAATGATGAATGGATGGATGGAGAAGGCCTCTTTAATTTACCCCTAGGTCAGTATTGGCATACAGAATGCACCGTGATTCAAGTGTTTCATTTTACCCTCTCTTCTATTGTAATTTCCCAATCGATTGCAGTTTAGTGTCCTCACCGTGAGTGACCACATTACCGTGGCTTTCCACTCAGCCTGATGATGGGCAGTTCACTCATCCGTTTCAATGTCATGGTCTGGTCAGCAGATTTCTCAGTGTCCTTTCTCTCTCAGGAGCCTGTCAATCTAGCAGGATGCACCTGTTAAGATCACATAAAGGCAGTTGGAGATGGTCCAAAACATATTGAGCTGCCTACATAGATAGTAACCTAACTGAAATGGAACCTAAGTGACTGACTTGAAACAATCTATAGGCAGAAAATTCATGCTCCTCAAAACACTACAATTCCAATCAGGGTTATTATAGATGACCAAAAAAAAAAAAAAAAAAGAAGAAAAAAACATTTTTACTACTTGAAATAAAATAAATGTTAATTGAAATATACTTTATTTTAACATGTCATGCTCATTTAGTTTAACTTTATTATAGTTGATTAAAAATACAATCTAAAAAAAATTTTTTTGAATGAAAATAAATGTTAACTGAAATAAAATGACAATATATATATATATCAGCATTTGTCATTTTTTAGTTTAACTTGATGTGCTAAAAAAACATAAAACTTTAAATAAAAACTAGACCTATTTTTAAAAAATTATAACACCTACATTTTAAATACAGAAAATATACAAATAAAAATAATTGTAAAAAATAAACTATAAAAGTATCTAAAAAAAATTAGATTCTAATAGAATTTCATATTAGAACACTGACACAGATACAATAATCTATGTAGCATATAAATTATGTAGTACACAATATATTGACAAAAACAATCCATTTTTATTTATATTAAATTATTTGTATTAACACAAACAAATTTCAGAACAATGTCGAATGAAATCAAGATATATTTAGTTGGCTTTTCTCTTGACCCGTCCCCCATCTTGGATCAGTGCAATGCATTATGGGATTGTTTTATCCTGGAGGCATACAAGCTCCCTAAGATTTTGGCCAAAATGTTGTTGCTTACCTTGTACAACAAATCTTTTGTCGATTGTGTATCTTTAAGCACTTAAAATATTGTCTAGATAGTCAGCTCACTAGGTTTTGGAAAAGTGTACATCATGTTAGACATTCAAGAGATTAAGCAGAACTTTGATTTATATTGGATGTGCTATAGGATGCTTTAAACTTCATTTAGCATACAGTTCACCATGCTTTTTAATCATTTTAGATCACTGATATATCCAACATCATCCATCGACTGGTGTGGAGAGCAGCCGAAGCATTAGAGTTCAAACGCACAGTTCAAATCAAACGTTCTCACACTGAGAAAGGTGTGTGAAACACCACTACCTACATCAATCCTTCGTTTGATGTTCTATGGAAATCCCCATACAACATCTGCAAGAGTCCTCTACGAGGTCATAAGAGAAAACAACAAACCAATGGAGAGACAGAAGGTGAGTAAAGCTGATGGGCAAATCCCAATCAGCCGAAAGCATAAAAGCAGTGATACAGGAAATCAGAAGGATGAAACAGGAAATCTATTATCCATAAGCTGTTTTAAACCTCAGTCTCTGCTGATGAACCTCGGTCCCAGATGGAAACTCTATGTTCTTTAGAGTTTGCTGAAGCAGAAAAACACCTTGAGCTTGTGCTATGAAGAGCTCAACCAAGGTAAGGCAACATTAAGACCCGCATTTCTCTTTCCCGAGCTTTTGCCCATAAATGTACAATTCTCTGGGTGTTTAGAATCTAAATGAGGTACTTTGGTGGAACAGTTCGCAGAAGTCTTGAAGGCAACATAAAAGGATGGAGCATGGCAAAGGCTTGGAATATTCACTCTCGCATGAGCCCTTCATAAACATTAAAGTTTCCCTGGTCCGGAAGACTTCCCAATTACAATTACAGTTTAACCTTTCAAGTAAACCGTGCACTTCCTTGGAAAAATCCTTGGTTCTTCACATCTCAAACTACGAACAAACTTACCATGACAGCGAGGAGTCTTCAAACGTCCCACCACAGCAAGACTGCATTACGTGTGCAAATACAGGTCTTACTGAACAGAGACAAACGCATGAATAATGCAACCGGCTTGCCACACCTGGAGGAATAACAATGAGCTTCCTACTTTTCTGCCGTTATGATCCTTATTAGAGGTCCAATGGGCTGTCATGGAGCTTAATCTGTAAAATACACACACTTTATATACATATATTAGCTGCGTTTACATTTCAAGACTCCTGAAGAACATACATGACTGGTGCGTTGGCATATTCAGCCTGGAAATCAGTTCTATACAGACGTGCGTTAACCTTTCGAGAAAAGAACGCAATGAGCTGTTGAATCAAAGTGTTCTTGCTGGAAATGTTTATTAGACAGGAATTCATTAGAATGTAAATGTGTTAGGCGCTTTCTGGACCTCATTTCCCTACGCTCACAAAATACATAAATATTTGACATTTATCATCTTAATTTGCTGTTCAAACATTCAAAGCTGTAAATTTGTTATAGCTACACTTCTGTTAAAAACACGTTATGTACAATAGACAAGATATTGCATTTGGCATAATTACAACAATCTTGTTATTTAATTTACAGTTTTCTCAAGTACTGATTTTTGTGAATGTCATCATTTGGCATTCGCATCAAATCCCAGTCTCATAAAATGTGACCGTAAAAAAGGAGAAAATAAAAATCATACTCAAGTTAATTTGAGAATTAATAAGAAATAGAAAGCAAATGAGGACACTGTACTGCGTTAGACGGTCACATTTCCCACTAAAACAAAACAATAGCTGGTCTCTCCGCTTTATATGTGTAAGTGTAATCCAGAGGTGTCAATCCAGATTTGACTAGAGCACATGCGTTTAGATTATAAGTGTGAACAGGAATGGCAGCCCTTATTGCCCAATGGCAGCTTGAGTCTCTGTAATGCCCTAGGTAGATCAAGTACCTTTCATATGAAGCTCTTTTACCAGGTTATATCACTTTGTCTCACTGTCTTTTAGACAACCAGCAGCAGTACGGTAACGCAGTGCTGTAAAGTGGTCCGGTGCACCGTGAGTTCTATGGTGAAGTCTATTACAGTGGATGTCTAACGCTCCATTTGCATCCTAATAAAGCATCTTTGGGTTCAAGACATCCATTTTCCTTACAGCCCACCTGTTCCTTTGGCACAACTCCACAAAAGTCCATCTCCATTTATATCGCGTGGGCATGTGCGCCCTGTACGGAAACCCTTGTTGGGAATCTTTCACACCACCTACACGGGTTCCAATCATTCAGACCCCAAACTCCAAAGAAACCTAAAGGAACTATCAATGCTGCAGGGCTCCGAAAGAAAATATAGACTCGCCCACAATCGCGTTCCAATTACATAAATGGGCTGAAGGTACAACTTCACATTAGTCAATGCAAAGGTGGCAGTTCAAACGGTGAAACTTTTCTAATTCATCGAACCCATGAAAGCTCTGTGTGTGTGTATTTTTAGTAATAAGAAATGAGATTACGGTAACTTGGTCTTACAAAAGCTGCGACCTTTCTAAAGACCTATTCACACCGAGTGCAAACTTCTTTCCGAGTGCGGAACGTTTTTTTCACATCAGACTGCAAATATAACTGGCTGAGCAATGACATACATGCTTTTTTTTTAAATTTACAGAGTCAACACTGCAGCTGCACAGTCCAGCACATTGGTGGCATTTAAGCCTTTAATGCAAAGGTGGCAGTTCAAACGGTGAAACTTTTCTAATTCATCGAACCCATGAAAGCTCTGTGTGTGTGTATTTTTAGTAATAAGAAATGAGATTACGGTAACTTGGTCTTACAAAAGCAGTGACCTTTCTAAAGACCTATTCACACCGAGTGCAAACTTCTTTCCGAGTGCGGAACGTTTTTTTCACATCAGACTGCAAATATAACTGGCTGAGCAATGACATACATGTTTTTTTTTTTAATTTACAGAGTCAACACTGCAGCTGCACAGTCCAGCACATTGGTGGCATTTAAGCCTTTTAACCTCTGTACTGGAATTGCACACCCTTTTTTGAACACGAAAATAACATATGTAAGTGGTTCCAGTTTGTGAACCCTTTGTAATACAGACATAAACCCAGTCTCCTTTGAAAGTCCGCTAATAAAATATGTGCATATATAATAAATGTGCATAAATATAAAGCCACAGGGCACATTGGAATTTGTGCAAAGGTGCCGTTTTAGTCGCCTCATGCACAATATATATATACATATATATAATGACAATGCAGGAAAGTGAATTTAATGCAAATCTGCAATAAATAATAAATTTTTAAATTCTTAAGTCCATGAATGTGGTAATATTTCATTATTTTACCCCACATTTTTCCTCGCATTCGGTGCGAACAGGCCTTAAACCTGAAGGAAAATGCAATCCTGAACATATCGTGCTAACATTAATATAGATGACTTTTAGCACCTTTTGTCTAAATAAAAAGTACAAAGTACTTTTAATCGCGCATTTCTCATTGATAAAAAGACTCTTAAGGCAAACATGTCTTGTATCAACCATTATAAACACACATTAGCATTGATAAATCTATGAAAAATCTGAGAAAATACCATGGTACTTAGTTCTGTTTAGAGTTAATTCAGGGGCTCGGGTAATTTGACAAGTGAAGTTATAATTTCTGACCTAAAAAGTGCATAAAATGCAGTCATACCCCTGTATCCCCTCTCTCACTCTAAATATATATATATAATAAAAATATTCCACAGTCTACTTTATACATTTAATCTAATTTGTGAGTTTGTATTCGTAAACCCAGAGAGGTTAAGTGTAAAAGTGCAAACGGTGGGGTTGGAGTGAAGGGCGCGGCGTTAGAGCTGTGAGACTTTCCTGGGAAGGGGCCGGGGTCTGGGAAACTGGTCAGGCCGGCGTGGCTCAGTGTCTTGCCTTCGAATCTGGTGCGGTTTGGGTGGAATAGGTGGTGCGTCGATGCTTGGAGGAATCGAAAGGCTCGGTGGAAGCGGGATCTGCCTGCGGGGGTTGTTCCGCTCGTGTATGCTGTAAGGAGGCGGGGTCTTGTTCTCCCGCCGAATAAGCTCGTCTGATCCGCTGGAGGCGGAGTTTGGGAGGGCATGGTCAGCGGGTGTGTTCTCAGTTCCGGAGGCCTCAGAGACGCTGCAGCGACTGAGAGACGAGATACCGCTGCTGTAGCTTCCAGAAAGCACCGGAGAATTCGACATCAACCCTGTCGACTGGCACTCTGTGGGTGAGGGGGTGAACGGAGGCGCAGAGGTCTGCGAATACAAGATGAGAGAAAACATGAAGCTCTGGGCCACAATGTAGTTAGCAAAAGAAAAGTTACCTCTTTCTGCTAGCAGAAACCCTTAATAAAGAAACCATCAGCTGCAACAGAAGCAGCGTCCTGCCTCACAGAGCTAATCTGTACACTGGAAGGCCAAAGCACAATATTCTGCAATTTTGGCTCTATTATTTCGAGGCAATACTGTGTCTTTTCATTACGAAAATAATTTCTAGGCAATTAAATCCGCAACTAAGACTGCAGCTGTTTCTAGGACTTCATTTCACTGAATAAACCGTATTTAGTCTGATTGCACTCTGGAGAGAACTTCAAACACAACATTTCCGCTAGGATAATTCAGCTTTGTGCAGCAACTACAAACAAAATACACACAGTTGTGAACAGTGCATCTCAATAACAGTGAGTTTACATGTAAAGAAAAGTATATATATATATATTCCCCATGATTTCAGCCGAAAAAATTATATTTAGAAAGATGCACAAAAATGTATTGGGAACATAATGGTCATTGACTACATTACAGATTTTAAAGTTATTGGTATCAATTGACATTGGATATAGGTTGATTTATATTGGATATTTATTTGTGCAAGCTCATTTTCTAATAATAACTGAATAACACTGCTATATGTAATCTTCAGCAATTCGCAGATTAAATATCCATTTTTCATACTGTACATCAAAATGATGTGATACCTTAGTGTTTTACTTTATTTATTTAGATGAAATAATATAGAATTTGAATTCTGACAATTTATCAGTTAGCGGCCATAACCTGAATATTTAGCATTGGTATCGTACAGAAATTTTATACTGGTGCATCTCTATAAATGAATGAATACACTGTTATCAAATTTATTTCAAATATAAAATGCAATCTTGTTTTGGAGATTTCAGAGTTTCCCAATTCAACTGGATAGCGTAAAATAGCCTGGACCAGAATGGAAATTTGGTCAATGTTGGTTTTTCCAGCTGTGACTAACTGTGGAATCTATATTCATATGTGTGTGTTTGGTCATTTGTGTGTGATACGTCACGCAGTATAGCTTCAGACATGAGACTATTTCTGGGGCAAGCAACCGTACACAGGTTACGCTTTCCCTTTCCGACCCACTGACTGCACTTCCTTCAGGAAATTCACCAGCATTCCCACTGAGATTTCTTCCTATCCGAATCTCACCCTCTCTGCTTATTCCTTCTGAGTAGCTTGACAGATTTCTGATTTCCAGAAGGAGGAATGATTGGATTTCTATGCAGTCATCTACACTTTAAATGTGAACAGAGTTCCCACGGGTTGGATTGTAGAGTTTTATATGGTGATTAGTGAGCATGTGTGTGTTGCTGAATACCAGGTGACGAATCAATACATGGCACGAGACAAGAATTCAAGGAAACAGCAAGGAATGTAATTATCAACACGAGACGCGCTGTTGAGTGGGAGTTTCTGAGAAGCCATTACAGCGGTGCTCAGCTTTGAGGACTGTTACTCTGAATGAGGAGAATGTGCTTTTATTTAAAACCGGAATACACTCACTGCAACGCCAAAGAAAAATGGCATGAAAGTACATTGATAGCGGCAGCTCCAACCTTTTTCAAGATCTGTGACCCTTTTTGACTATTATGCCCTTTGAAAGAAAAATACTGTGGTTTCTTCAATACTGATACCTGCATTTTCAGTAAAGTTGTAATTTTCTCTTTACTGTATTGGTATTGTACATAAACACAGTGTTGGACTCAAAAATGATAGTACTAAATGTAATGATATTACATACTAAGGTTCAAAGGTTTGGGGTCTGTACGATTTTTTTAATGTCTCTTATGCTCACAAAGGCTGCATTTATTTGATTAAAAATACAGTAAAAGTAATATTGTGAAATATTATTACAATATTATACAATACAAATTATACAAATAGTGGTTACACTTTATTTTAAGGTGTCCTTGTTACGGTGTAATTATACATACAAGTACTGAGTAATATTAATTAACTACATGTACTTACTTTATGGTTAGGGTTAGGATTTGGGTGTGGCTTAGGGTTACTTGCATGTAATTATGCATAATTAATTGTTATTATAATAGTAAGTACATGTAACATGTGTAACAAGGACACCTTAAAATAAAGTGTTACCCAAATAGTATTAAAAATTAAAATAACTGTTTTCTATTGTAATATATTTTAAATTGTAATTTATTCCTGTGATGCAAAGCTGAATTTTCAGCATCATTACTCCAGTCTTCGGTGTCACATGATCCTTCAGAAATCATTCTAATATACTGATTTGCTGCTCAAAAAACATTTCTTCTTCTTCTTATTATTAAAAACAGTTGATCTGTTTAATATTTTCTAGAAACCGTGATACTTTCATTTTTTTAAAGTTCAAAAGAACAGCATTTATTCAAATTAGAAATATTTTGTAACATTATAAATGACTTTACTGTCGCTTTTGATCAGTTCAATGCATCCTTGTTGAATAAAAGTACTAATTTCCTTAAAATACAATTTCACTGACCCCAAACTTTTGAGCGGTGGTGCATATATTTTGTTGCTTTCTGCTTTATAGTTGTTACCAGAGTTCAATATCTGTAAAATGCATGTTCCACCATTGAGATGGAAGACTTTTAGATGGGTTAGTGGTTTCTGGAGGGTCTGCACCGGATCGCTGCCAACCGAACTGCCCAGGACTGGCATGAACACACACAAACAGTGTCCCCTCTGTCTAATCGTGGGCCCAGTTGGACTGACTTGAATCTGACCCAGTTTAGACACCCTGGATTGAGTCCCCAGACGCTACAGTAAACATCCACACCAGTAAATACATCAAAGGTCACTTCACAAAACACCCTAGACAACAAGAAAAGGTCATACCTTCTGCGGTGAGCGTAATGTCATCACGGGGGACTGTGATCGTGTAGTCTTGGCAGGAGATCCTATTAAAGGACACAAAAAGTCAATCTTCTTCACTTGATATAGGAGCCTGGGACAGTAAACACAGTCACGGCTGTCTATTAATCAGGAAAACGCTTTGTCAAGGTCGGTCGGCTAATGCAAAACAGTTTAACCATTCGGTACAGTCCCAGTTCTTTTCCAGGAAGCTCAATCAGAGTCCACAGATGTAGACCCTTAAAAGGGTCGTATCATACTGTTTTATAATGTAATTTGCTCTTTGAGGTCTACTTATAATGTTAGAGAAGTTTTAAAGTTTTCACTATTTTAATAATAATTACTACATAAAATTAATAAAACAAATCTAATAATATAAAATATTAAAACGTAAAATAATAAATACACTAATGTATAGTTACAGTTCTGAAAGTCACATAATAATAATAATTAATGTATTATATTAAAATGTATAAACACAATATTAAATAAATACACGTTTCCTATACTTATAGTAGAAAGTTACAATAAATAATATAACTGTAATAATAAATTAGAAAAAAAACAAAAAATTGTAAATATACTAGTTATAGAGTTCTGAAATGTAACAACATCAATTTATCATATTAAAATTAATATTAAAATAATACAAATATAAAATAATAAATACAAGAGTTATAGTTTATAATAAAATAAATAAATAAATAAAAGACTGAATGCAGAAAAGAGAATGCAGAACAACAGTTGAAAGGTAATGAAGCAGCAACGGTGCAGATTGAGGTTTAAAGACGTGTCATGCAGTTTAAAAGACATAAATGCTGCGAGAAAGCTCATCAAGAACGATTATAAACAAAAGAATGTGTGGGAAGGATCCCGTTGTTAGGTGATGTGCCTTTTCTTATTAAATATATGGAGATAGTATCTTCAAATTCTCACTGATGTGTTCGACCGGCAGCCCTCACGACACAGGGAGAGGTAGAAGTTAAGACGAGCGAGAAACCAGGAGACTTTAGAGCAGAAGAGTGGAAGATCTGAGAGTTAAAAGGCTTGGGAAACATCTAAAGGATCGGTCGGAGCGGATTTCTTTCTTTACCTGAGTACGGTGGTCTAGGAGGGACAGGGGGACACTTTCCATTAAAATCAGAGAGCGGCGTGTCTAGACTCCAGCTACTTGGTGCAGGCTTCACCACTTTTACACACAAAACATGCATTTCAGGTACATCAGTCAACTCAACTCAAAATATGACTGGCAATAGCAAATCAGGATTTGTCCGGACTAGGATGTAAAAGAACGGAAACTGTCCTGCTAAAACTTCCTGC